TAAATTGTCCTTAAAAACGCAGAAAGATCCCGGGTGTCCTCACCGGGACGCAAACCAACGACCTTCTAGCTGCGAGACGATGGTGCTAACCACCTGCTTGCAGCCCCATCATGAAGAAAAATTAATTGAAGAAAATGAATGTAAACAGATCTGCAGCAGTAACCAGGAAGTAGAGAATGAGCCACATTACCACGAATCAGAGCCACAGTGGCCGTCGTCCTAAAAACAGACGGTGAGCTGCTTGTGTGATCTCACTCTGAAAACCAGACAGGTGGAGCTTCAGAGGTTCTCAATGATCATCAGCATTTGTCAGAAAGTACGAGAGACACTGTACAACACCAACCTCTATGTACAGCATCCAGGAAAACTGCAAGATGAAGCTTTGCTGAAAACCTTGAAAAGAAACCCGACAAATAATGGAAGCACATCCTTTGGTCAGATGAGACCAAAGTAAACTTGTTCAGCTCAGATGGGGTTCAGCTTGTTTGGTGTGAACCTGACTAGGACCACCACAGTGAGGCATGGAGGTGGAAGTGTGATGATACGAGGCCTTATGAGTGTAAAAGGTGACGGGAGATGATATTTACAGATGATGTCATGTATGTAGATAAACCAAAAAAAAGTTTGTTTTGTCTAAACGTCCAGGGATTTTTCTTTTGGTTTCCAGACTGTTTCACAGAAGAACATTATCTATTATGTTACCTCAGCAACATCCCCAAAACATTCTCAGCATGTGGAGGCCATAACATTCTACCATCGGTAATGAATCACAGGGATAGGTCCTGTCAGACGCGGCCTCGATAACATCTCAAAAACATTTTTCTGCTGTTGGATCGACAGCATCCTGGTTGTCGTGTTACATAATCTGTGGCATCGACGACATCCTTAAACCATCGTGTTAAAGTCTTAGCTAACCTTTAACGTTATAGGAGCATTATTTGAACTGATAAAGATCCTTAAAAAGTTTTCTAAAACATTTAGAGCTTGTAGGTAACGTTTGCCAAAGGTGGCGGGACATTCCTTGTTGGCTTTATGACTTGGATCCAGGAACAGCTTCAGGGTGTTTTAAAGAGAAAGAACGACACAAACCCTCCAGCAAGAGAGCAGCTGAAAGAAAAATGTCCCGAAGGAGCAACAGAAAGTCCCTCCATAGAAGGAACTCAATGCAACAAAAGTCAAAAGACGTTCCACCTCTCATCCAAGAGGCTTCATCAGCTCTGACTGACTAGTTGGGAGATCCAGATATCCTTAAGGAGACATTAACACCTGAGTTTCGGTTTCCTCCCCTTCGTTATGTGAGTCGTTAGTGCTCCTCCTGCCACAGTGGGGTTCGTTAGGGTCTTCTGTGGCCAGGTGTGGATGGATTTCATCTTCCTGGGGAGAGATCTTGATTGTAAACAGGAGAGAGGTGATGCATCAGACCTCCACCTCTGGTGAGGGATGGTCTCTCCAGTTAGATGGCTTCTTTCACTCCTCTCTCAAACCATCCGTCCTCCAAAAAATCTGTACATCATTGTCTTCAAATCCTTTGTCCTTCAGATGTGAGTTGAGTCCTTCATAAGTCCAACTTTCTCAGGAAGCGTCTGTTACGTTGGACAGATTGAGCCTGGCTGTTTCTGTACAGCGTTGAGGTATTTGTACTTCACATTGTAAATATTGTAGTTTGCTCCACTACGTTCATCCAACAGTTCTTTCATGGTGATGATTTTACACAAGAAGGCTTCTTCTATAAACCAGTGTGTTACGTCTGACTCTTGTTCAACGGGGACATCTAGTGGCCAAACGTTGTCAAAGCAGTTTCATTAGTCCAGTCGGGCCTTCAGTTTATCATCCTGATGCCAAAATTGGATTTTAAATGAGTTTTTAGTTGACCAATAGGCTTTTAATTATATAGACAAGCGATAACAGACGGTAAGACATTATGTTACGGCACTTATGTTAATGACGAATTTAGTTTTTTCGAATTTTTTGCTAACGAAGCCAAACTGTTCTCATGGCTGCTAACAATCTTTTTCCTCTTCGTGTCGATCTCTAGGTCTTTGAGGACGATTCTTCCTTCAGAAAAGTTTCCTTTGTTGTCTGCGTCCATTGAAACCAACGTTGTTCAGTGTTTGATTGAGATATTTGCTCGGATTGATCGAAGTAGTTGAAGCCATGATCCTTAGATTCTTCTTATTCTTATAGGTGCAGGGCTCACGTTTTGCTTCTTACAAGTGCTGAGCTCCTTCTGGTTCTGCACTGCGGCCACTGGCACTAAAAAAAAGCTGAGACATGATTTCATAGTGTCTCGGTGTTTAGCACTGTTGCCTCACAGCTAGAAGGTCGCCGGTTCGCATCCCAGTCTCCATGTTCTCCCTGTGCAGCGTGGGTTCTCTCCTGGTTCTCCGGCTTCCTCCCACAGTCCAGAAACATGCTGAGGTTAATTGATGATTCTAAATTGTCTGTAGGTGTGAATGTGAGTGTGCTTGGTTGTCTGTCTCTAAGTGTAGCCCTGTGATAGACTGGTTACCTGTCCAGGTGAACCTGCCTTCACCCTGAGTCAGCTGGGATAGACTCCATCCTCCCACGACCCTAGTGAGGATTAAGGTGTAGAGATGATGGATGGATGACTTCATCGCCTTTCTTTGTCAGTGATGGACCCGAGCAGCAGCTCACTGAGCTAAAAGATATCAATCCTTGTCCTGAAGTTACGGATCCAACTTGCCGATTTCCTTTACCTCCCCTCATGCTTATGTTGGTTCACTGAGTCACTTTAGATTGAACTTTAGTCGTACATACTTGTTTTGGTTTTTATTTATATGTATGTATACTTACTTACTTTATCTATTACATTTTTTTGCATGCCACTGTCTTGGGCTGCTGCAATGCCCGACCTTCCCGTATGGGGATCAATAACGAATCATCTTATCTAACCACGACTTTCAATCGACTAGTAACTGAAACATAACTCCTGCAGCAACTATTCTCAGTATGCAGAGAATCAGAACGTTCTGGAGCATGGAAGAAACGACCATATTTAATGGAATAGAAGCTGTATTTTCTCAAAAACTGGTGACGATTGAATAAGAAATAATTTTGCACATGTTTGTTGTTTTTTAAATGCAATAAGACCACAGAAATCATCACAACTAACCATTAACACGATGTTTTACTGACTTTTGTTGCTTTTTTATGTCATTTTCAGGCTGAAGAAATTCACTCTGCGTTCACATCTGGAGTAATTTTGAGCTCAGCTGTATATAGACGTGGTGGTCATTAACCCAGAATAACACATACGAGCGCACACGCAGTACAGTTTTGTTATTTCTTTATTTAGTTTCTACTCTACAGGCTGAGGGAAATGACAGATGTGTAGGAACCACTCTGCAGGCCCATACAGGGAAGAAAACGCCATCACATGCCAAAATGATCTGCCTTTTTCCACTCTCGCCCCGCTGTTGACAAGTTTGCTTAGCAGCAGGAAAAGTTGAGCTCAAGAGGAATTTAAAAAAAGACAGTTCTGATGATGAAATCCAACGTTGGGCTCCTAGTAGGGGATCGGGCCGTAGTAGGCGGTGTAGGCGGCGATGATGCCGGACGTGTCCATCATGTTCTCACAGCCCAGGTTGGCCTCGCACACTTCTCTCAGGCTGCACGGAGACAACACAGGAGGTAAATCCCTGAGATCTTTAAGAGAACGTTTGATATGTGACATGCAGACTCCAGCAGAACGTCTGTGGACTGAGTCAGACAGAAAACGAACCTCTCCAGCTGTGCCAGGGACAACTCTCCAGCTGCTCTCTTCTGTCTCACCACCTCGGAGGCCTGATCCCGCTCCACGAACAGCCCTGCACATCATTTAGCACAACAAATTCAGATTCTAACATGTGAGGAATCGTGTAAATAAAACAGGATGTCTTGCAGACTATCTTTACTTATAGAATTAATACAAACACATGCACTTCAGTAGCTTCTCAGCTCAAAAATGGACATGATTTAAAAGCAAAACAGCAAAATAAACCTGCTCTATGTTGAACTGGAGTCTAACGCTGCCAATAAAATGTGGATTAATACAGAATTCATGCATGTGTGTGTTTGCAAGAGTCTAATTTACATCTGCATTAATACAAAAGTTAAAGTTATTTAATAATTCCAACTTTAACAAGACAAAACGTTGAACTAATTCTCCTTTCAGAGGCTGCAAGCTTCAAGTAAAAACTACATATTAAGTGGCTTCATAAACTGAATACAACCAAACTAACTGATGGACTTTTAGTATTAAATCACATTCATACCATCCTGGTTGTTCTCAGCAGGCTGAGCTCCAGCGTCAGCATCTGTCAAACACAAGGAGACATATTAATATCATAGAAGCTATTTTGTTTTGTATTTTAAAAAATATTTCAGTCGGTGTATCGAGTTTTTCACTAGCTGGCCAGATTTATAAACTTTTTTTTCAATTAAAAGATAATACTATAAATGAAATGTGCTGTGTTTTTGTGAACCATCTAAGAAATAACATTTGGGCTCCTCCAAAACAATATGAATTACACGTTCAGACAACTTCTAATGGAATTATGTTCAATTAACAAACTCCACTGAGCTACGGGAGTCAACTTTTCCTGCTGATTTGAAGTTTTTGTTAACAAACAAACACTGAAAACATTAATTTTTAAGTTGATTACTCAGAAAAAAACAGGTTGCACCTACTAGTATGTTTAAAAGAACTTGTGTAATTTACTTAATTGGCATTGTATTTGTGTTGGATTTGTTATCCTGAAGTCAAGGTTAAAAAAAAAAAAAAGAATAAGAAAAAAAAGCCAATTTTATTAAGTTACCTCGACTTAAATGTAGCTTTAATTAAAATAACATGAAAATTTGAGTTTAAGTAACATGAAGTTTTAAGTTGGTGGAACATCATTGTGTCAATCCAACAAAAATCAGTAATTTTTTATTTTTATTGTTAAAAAATCTTATAAGAATGCTTTTAATTAAGTCAGTCCTTTGGTTTACTTTTATGTTTTTAGAGGGCTGATCTTACCTGAAGCCACACAGATGACTGCCAGGGAGCAGAGAACCAGGACCACCAGAGTCTTCATCTTTTTCTTTTCTTTTCTTTCGCTGTCTGAAGTTGGACCAGAGACTTGAGCAGCTCGAACCCTTTCTTTGTGTACATGTCGACGCAGCGGGTTTATAGATGCCCTCATCGCGACACGTGATTGGTCAGGGAATCATATATCACGATGCAGAAATACACACCTCCGCAAAAAATCCAACATACCAAAAATAAACTTTTATATGACCTTTTGCAGCACATGCTGCACACAGAGGGAATCAGAGAGGTGGGGTTTGCTTTAGATGGTGAGAAAACAAATGAATTCTACTTTTCTGTCCTAAAATAGCAGATTTAATGAGAAGATAAGGAAAAAAGACCCTTGAAAACTCTAATAAGAGACACAGATTGATCACATCATCACACCTGCTCTCTCATTAGCTAACATTTAATGAAAGTTTGAGGAGGTAATACCGGCTGGCAGCCTGTAGAGGTCATAGTTTCACAGCGCGCCCACACACTTCTACATGTAGGTCACTCAGTGCACGAGGCAGGAAAAGCCATTTAGCAGGAGCCACATCATGAGACGTGATTTTAATCCCGGAGCTTTCTCTCTTTTATTGCGAACCGCAGTGATTTCCTACATAAAGAAAGAAAGCGGCGTTTGGAAACTGTTCATTTGAAGAGCTGTGGCGGGGCTAATTTGGAGCGAGCCGAGTTATTTTTACCACAACAAGTGAGCGGTTTGCCAATTAAGCGAAGGGGAAAGCCGTGGAGGGCCAGCGTTTTTATTTAAAACACGACTTTCCAGCTAGAAGAGCGTCTTTTAATCTTTTGAAACATCGGATCTTCTGTGTTTTATTGGTTAGTTATAGCGTGGATGCTCTGCTAGCGACTAAACGCAGCGTGTTGTCGCATCTCAACGTCCAAGTCTTTGAATTTCCCTAATTTATGACATGAAAACGTCCTTCTGTGCTTTTCCTGACTGGACGTTCAGCCTCTGGACTGGACCTGATGCTAACGTACGGGCTGTAATTTCACCGTCTGGGTCAACGCTGGGGCATCTTGTCTCGTTTCAGGACGAGACTTCAAGGATTCAACCTCAGCACGACTTTAATTGAGCACATCTGCGGCCATGTGGCAGCGAAGGAAAACAAACCTCCAGAGCGACTGTCCTGGTCGGCCGTGCTGACGTCGGCTGTGTGCTGACCGGTCTGTGAGGATCCTGATAGGCAGACGTGGAACACCGCACGGATTCCTCCTACAAGAAACCATACAAGAAAACTCCAG